GGTAAAGTGGTAAAGTCAAATGTCATAAAGTCAAGTGTTCGTAAAGTCAAGTGTACTTGACCCCATGTATTCTCTATGTATTTTCTCTGCGGGGCTCCGCACGGAAGAACCCTTCGCGATGCTTTCGGGAAAAAAAAATCGATCCCCAAAGCTGCATCCTTGCATCCCCAGGGGCCGAGCATCGGCAAAGTTGTACCCCTCTCACGGCTGGCCCACCTAAGACTCAGGGTCCAGCGTTTCCGGCTCCATCACACTTTGAAAGCATCGAGACGAGGTTTAGCTCAGCGGCTGAATGCATAAACTGAAACTGTAGAACCCTGAAAGACCACAAGCCCAAGGCTGAAGAACAGTCCAAGACCCTCACGCCCCCAAGCCCTTCATGTATCTCTTGCCTTTTCTGGGCCCTCGCAAACTCACTCAAGGGGCTGCCGCAGCATGACGCAGCCAGCGACGGGCTCAGTACAGAGAAGTAGCTGGGCCTCACTCACTCGAAGCTTTTGGCACCAAGGCCTCTAACAGTCTACTTTGGAAGCTTTCCTCATTTTGCATTGGTTCAGGCAGCGGCACAGGGGCGGGACGAGCAGTACAATCAGTACAAACAGGACCGGAGACCACTAGGACACTAAGAGACCAGAAGACCCCCAGTAGCCGACCAGGGGATCAGCAGGACACAGCCAACTTGTTTTCCTCCAAGTCGGTTCTCCCGCACTGGTCAAGTACTGGCGGATCGGGAGGATTCGGGAGAGTCGCCAGAATGCTTTCCCCCAAGTACTGGCACCTTTCCGGAACATGCGGCTCCTGCTTCACACCCTTAACTGGGGGGATCCAGGAATCCAGGCGATTCAAGGGTTTCAAAGCCACAAAACGGTCCATGCAGGACTCGGGTGCACAACTTGTACTGCACCACAGCCGAAGCGATGCCTTTTAGCAGCCTTCTGGCGACAGATCCAGGACAAAAAAATGAAGGCCAGCAAAGTACATACAGCACTAGCAGAAAACAAGGACAAGAAATGCTAGCAACACAGTGACCAGCCAGTGCTTGCAACACAGCCGTACGACGAAACCGAAGCTCCAAGAGCGCGATTCACACGTGAAAGCTGCACTCGGAAAGCCCGAAAGCTCAAACTCTGCAGAAGTGACTGCATGTTGCGCCCGCTACTGCACTTCATTCCCAGCTCCTTTCGCTACAAAACTGCGGCATGATCCACCCTACATAAACCCTCTTCAACTCATAAGTCTCCGTGTTCTGCCTGAGCATCTCCTCCAGCTTCGAGTATCTCCACTGGTGCTTTGCTTGCCGAGCCGGGCATCAGGAACTGTTGCAGTGCCTCAAGCCCCGGAACCTGAAACTACTGAAACCCGAAAAATCTTGAAGCGTAAACCCTGAAGGCCCCGAAAGCCCTGAATCTCAGCCCGGACGTTCCGAGAGGGACCTCTCGGAGGGCCTGGTCCCCTGCAGCAGCAGCGCTGAGGTGCTGAGACCTTTTCTTCGCTCCAAGTCTCGAATGGGCTTTGGTTTAGGGCTTGGCTGGTGTAGGATTCCAGTGTTGGTTGTTTGGTGTTGGGGATTTGGAAGCTTTGGTTCGACCCTGGAATGCTCTGCAATTCTGCACCTCAAGAGTACGTAGGGCTTTAGGGCACTGCTTGAGTGGTTTACGGTTCAACCTTCTACTGGAGTTTGGGGCTCAGTTTTCGGACTCCGGAGCTTTGTGGTTTTCGTCCGAACAAGTCAGAACGTGGGCTTTCGAGCTCTGTGCTAGGGGCATCTAGGATCTAGGTTTTCTGTCGTAGTTTTGGAGCTTGGACCCGCACTTAATTTGGGGCAACAGTGCACCCACAAAACACTCAACAGCTACACTTCTGCAGAATTTAGGCTCGCACGGCTTACAAAGGTTGTGTGGGCAGCTGCTTAATTTTACATTGATGCCCACATGATCTTGGTCCTTGCTTCAATTTGCCAACTTTCCTGCAGGATTGGGCGTGCATGGGTTCTGGCATGCGTGGAGACATGTTTACAGTGCCCCACATCATACGAGCCGTAAGCTGTACAGTTTCAAGGCCCTTTTGACCCTGCCCTGCTGATGATGTTGGTTCCAGTTCGCAGAGTCCCAGCATTTTAAGTGCGCCGGCCCAACCGTTCCAAAACCTTACACTGCCTTACAGAACTCTTACTCAATTCGTCTCACACAATCCTGCCTTGTCAAACCTTTTAAAGGCCCGAACATCCTCTGCAAACCTAGCGCGGCCATGGCACAACGTGTCCCAGGGATAGGCATAGGGATCCTCGGAGGCGGTCTATCACACATAACATAAACTGCCTCATCTGCCCCCGCTGGACGTTGCATGTAACATAGCTTAGGATCCTGGTGTGCTCCATCGGGCTGCTACACACCGCAGATAACGTGTTGCAGAGATTCCCAAAAAATCAACAGTCAGTTGTTGAGGCTCCTACATGTAAATCCATCTTCGACTTTGGGCTTTGTGTTTGTCAGTGTTTGTCTCCCGCATCGCGGGACGGCTCGCAGTCACCGGCTTAACCTTTCGGAGTCAGGACCACAAAAGGAGTAAAGCTCAGGCGTTTTGTTTGGGACTATGTTGAAAGCTTTGGACAGATGCAACATTAAACTAGTGCTAGGGGGTCTCCTTTCAAAGCTTCGACAACGGGCCTTCTTTGTAGGAACTTTCAGCTCGTAGGACATCGGCATGCGAAAGATGAATGGCAAGTCATGTGCGAATGAACACTTATTTCAAGGAACTGCGCAAATCTCAACCGTCAGCCTTTAACCCTGAACTGAACCTTCAACCCTAAACCCTAGGACCTGCATCCCGAAGCCTTGAACCTGCCATCTCCTGCCGAGACGCTCCCTCCGCTGCCCGCAGCAGCTGGGTGATTGTCGAAGAGCCCTGGATCCGACACGGTGTCATACCGTGGGGTGCAGTGTTGCTGGGGCTTTCGTTGAGGGCAACGAAAGCGATAGATTGATGATCCATGCCAAAGTTATCTAAGCTGCTGCAGCCACAGAGTATTCTCGCCTCGTGTTTGAAAGTGTGTCATGCTGTCGGCTCTGAGACTCTTTGCAGGGCATAAGGCCTGTGAAAACCAAGCGAAATCCTAGGCGAGACAAGGACAAGGTTGTGGCGTTGAGAAAGCACGGCCGAACACGCCTCCACCCAAGATGCCGAGGCAACGGTCTTCGTTTTTTTTCTCTCTCGCTTGGCTCACAGGCGAGGCGTCTTTGGCGATGATCTAGACATGCAGCCAACACTACGAACATTGGAGATTTAGGATACTCGCAATGCCAGCAATTGAGCATCAAGCAAAATCAGCCCCCGTGAACGAGCCCTAAAAGCATAATACACCCAAGTCACAGGGGCGAGATTCCCACAAGGTGCCGTGAGCCATCTCGGCTCTACGATCAACTTCGATAAGCCCTGGACTACAGCAACGCAAGACGTGCCAAGTGAGCGCAGCAAAATGCCGACGTCCCTCTAGGGTTTCGGCTCGCACACTCGGAAGATGCAGGGTTTAGGAAGTTTAGGGTTTAGGGCATGGCAAGCCACGGCAAGCACTGCAGGTCCCCAAGTCGGCACATAAGGCACGCACTTTCAGCAAGGATGTGCTGGAAGGAAAATACAGCAACTATCCTTGCACGTCTGCCACCTCCACAGGCCCCTGCGGCATTGCAGAGCAGGTGCCGCCAGTCACAACGAGTGATCACCATGTGGCCGTCCACATTAACTGGTGCGTTGCAGAAAGCACAACGTAAGCATTACATTCGAGAACTGCATGTCTAGTTAGCCTGACCGTAGGAACAGTAGTAATTGTCATCAGTATTGTAGCACTGGCGCTCGACCAATGACATGCCCGAGCTCGCAGGAGTGTCACTATGATGTACAACCAGGCCTTCACCGCATACGTAGCAATTAGCACTGCAGATACTCCACAAATTAATAATGAAAAGTTGGAATATGAACACGCATACAAAGTAGAGGCCAAAACATCGAAAGAATGAGACGGCTTCAAGCCTCTCCTCTCGTCAAGCAGTAAAAGCTTGTTGAAAGCGCCACAAACCCTAAACGGCTGCATGAAAAAAAAACCTATCTATTCAACCTATTCAGCTCTACTCTCGGCGTCTCAGGCGGATGACCACGTCTTCGGCAGGGAAGATCAAGAATCCCGTGAGCTCCTCCACTGGTGGCCTTGTCCACTTCTCCAGCACGAACTTCTTCAGCACCATGGCCAGCACTATCTTGCCCTCGTAGTCTGCCAGGTACCGGCCAAGGCAGATGCGCGGACCGTGCCCAAAGGCCAAACTGTCAAAAGGCGGATGCTTGATGATGCCTTGGGCTCCGATCCAGCGTGCAGGCCGAAAGATGTTCAGGTCTTCACCCAGGTTCCGCTTCATCTCTGGCGAGTTGTTCATGATGTAGCGGTAGTGCAGCCAGATCTTGGTGTGGGGAGGCACAGTGCGGCGGGCAAGTGTGATGGGCTCAATGTTGGTCACCGACTGGAAGGGGGCAGCTCCATGAAATCGCAATGTCTCCAGCCACATCGCGCTCAATAGCTCCACGGACTCAAGCTGATCCGGCATCAGACGGCCGTCGGGCAGTGTCTTCACCTGAGCCGCCAGCTCCTCCTGTAGTTCCGGATGGCAGGAAAGCTGGTAGAAGGCCCAGGAGAGTGCCTGACTTGTGGTGTCCGTGCCGGCCACGAAGAGGACCATCAAGTTGCCAAGGAGGTCCTCGCGGCTAAGATCGCTGTCCGTCCCCATCTTCTTCAGCTTGTCAAACACGGTGGCACCCTCGCCCGTGATGCTGTCCAGCATTTCATTCAACTTCTCCCTCATGCTTTCGTCAGCAAGGACCCCAGGGTCAAGAAGCCTTGCAAGACCAGGGATCTTCCAGTAGGGGAGAGGGCTCCAGAGCCGGGAGCCTAAAGTGTTCAGCATCTCGCGCACCTGCTTCACCGCCACTTGATTTCTCGCCGGTAGTAGCCCAAAGTCTCTTCCGACACCGGTCTTGCAGACAAGATCCGCAGCAAGCATGGGCAAGAGCTCCGAGAAGTTGGTCTCTCCCCGAAGTCGGAAGTCTTCATCCAGGGCATCCATGAATTGGTCCATCACAGCGCAAACAGAAGGAGCGTAGCTGGCGACGTTCTTCATGTTGAAGGCCACAGAGAGGATGCGCCGCTCACGCTGCCACTTGGCGTGCTCGGAGAAGAAGCGCCAAATCAGGAATCGAGTCCCCAACGCCACCTTTCGTAACCTTGAAAGGCCTAAGCTTCAGCACCGTGGACATGGCGTCCCACCCGCAGCAGACGACGGTGCGAGTCCCCACGAACTCCATCTCGTAGACACCCTCCTCGCCGTACTCATCGGAAAACTCGTCGAGCTTCTTTGCCAGTTTGCTACCTGATCCGATCTCTGGCAGGACGCCAAGGAAGAAGACTCCAGGCACCTGTCGGAAGCGATCGATCTTGTGCTGCAGCAACCACCTCAGTGCAAGGACGCCTGCGACGAAAATTCCGGTTGCCTTGCGCGGTTCCTCAAAGATCCACCGCTCCAGCTTCAGCAGCGACATGGGGTCGCAGGAGCAGCTTGCACGCGAGGTCTCTAACCGTCGCACACCGAACAGCTCCTGAAAGAGACTGAAGCCGAGAAGCTGCTTAAGTGGCATCAGGTTGTGTGGTGTAGGCTTAACCTTCGAAACCGGAGAAAGCCATGTTTCCACCCTAGAACCTCTCAACCCAAACAACCAAAACAGGTTGTCTGGGGCCGCACGAAAAACAGGCGGCTGCCTATGCCTCCGGTAAAGCCACAAACCTTGAAATTATACACCCGGAAATTCCTCGACCGAAAGCCTTGCGCCCTGGTCTGGTGAGAACCCGAGCAACGAAAACTGAATGCCAAAGCCAGCAGCCTGCCCCCGAATAGCTTGCAGCCCGGCAACATCAGCAAACAGACCAAACAACGGAACAAGCGAGCAGCAAACACACGCTCACACTCAGGCAAAGAAAAACGCACACCACACAACAAAGCGTGAATGCATGGTGACTTGAACATGGAAACTATGGAAACCGAAGCCTTCAAACCGGATTCCAAGATGATTCCGGCGAGGGGTCCTGGTTGCAAAGGCCGAGGATCTCACACCAGCGTGGCTCCTTCGAGGATGCTTTACAACAGGAGCAACAAAGTCGGAATAAATATCACTGGCCATGAAGCCCAAACCTAGAAAAGAAGGACAGCCAGCATTGACCAGAAGCTGTTCAGAGCCATTTCCCGACTTCAGTCGGACTTGGCAAGCCAGTCAAAGACGTTTGGAGTTTCCGATTTCGGGCTGTCGAGTGTGGGCCTTGGGGCGTTCGGGTTCAGAGTGTGGCGGGAATGTTTCAGGTTTTGGGGCTTCGGTCTAGGGCTGCCTAGGTTTTTGAGAGCAGTTGAGGTTACTGGCCGGGCTTCCGTTGGGCCCTGAGTCCGTGATGCAAAGATGGCTGGTGCAAAGCCTCTCTGCTGGAGCGAACCGACAATTATAAGAAAGACAACCGTCCCCAACAAGAAGTGACTTCCGGAGCTGGTCATCTCCGCGCTTGGACATTAAGCCTTGAAGCCTCAAGAATTCCTGGGGCACAGGCGAGGCCGAAGAAGGTGGCCTTCACGCGGAAGAACCTCGTAGGCAGAGCTTCGGAGCTTGGAGAAGGAGAGGCACGGAATAATGCTTGTGATTGCGCGCGTTGAAGCAGGACCCCTGGAATCTCGAAGTCGTCTAAACTACCCACTTGCAAGCAACCCTCAGGAAGCTTTGACGGTCTGTTCAGCAGGGGTTGGTTCACCCCCCAAGCACTGCTAGGTTGGATTCTGGTTGGGGAGCCGGGGGCCGCTTGAGTCAATCACGGAGATACATCATAAAGCCTCAACCCCCTAAAGCCCAAACCCCCAAACCCAAATCTTCAGAAGTTACAGAAAGGACGAAGGGGTCGCTTCTGTCTGCCAGGTGACCCCTGTGACCGTGTGAGCATATCCACCGGCTCCAAGGACCTATGGCGCGGAGTTTGACGTGTGATTTGAGTTGTTGCAAGCCGTGGGAGCACTGAAAGGCGTCGAGTGCTGAAAGATAATACATTTGTAGTTTTAAGTCTTCTAATTTCTACATCGTGGTGGCTGGGGCGGGTAGGGGGGGGAGGTGGCCTAGACGAAACGTTCAGACTGATGCAGCAACCTCTTGAAACCGCGCATATCTTGCAGGCCCGAGGCAGCGTCGCATGCGTGCCGAAGACAGCCACTGAGACATCGGATGGTGTCCGAACCTGCGAAAGCCTGCATCCGAATTCTTACTCAAGGGCTTGTCGTCTGGGCTTTCGAAATCGCAAGCTGCTGTAGGCTATGGTGCTATGTATGGCTTCGATAGTGGGAATCCCCGTGGGAGGGTGCAGAGTTTAGGGGTGGAGGGGTAGTTCCGCCAGTGAAATGACAAAGACGTCGGAAGTACGAGCCCTAATTCGCATGATACCTGGTTGGTTACAGGACTGTCGGTGAAGCTTCGGGGGCCCGGAATGTGACTGGAGAATTCATACCTCGAACTCTTGTGATTGGGAGCTTGCAACTGGAGTCTTGAGATGTCGCGTTTTTGAGATGCACCTCTGCACCAGGTCCGGCGGAGGCTGCCAGTGCAGCGACTCCAGCGGCACGGAGGGAGGTCTGACCGGATTCCGGGCAGCATACTGTGCCTCAGGAGGTCGGAGGCTGGCACAGCTTACAATATGGGTTGCTATCCTAACACCCCACACATGCTGTCCCGGACTACGAGGTACGAGGGAGTTCTAGTGGTCGGGTACATTGCTAGTCATGGCCAGTGTCACTGATGGTGTCCATGTTACTCGAACCTCTACTGTTACTGTTGTTCTCGCTAGCAACATCACCCGACGAGTTCAGTGGTGCGTTCGTGGCTTCGTTTCAGGCTTTGGTTAGGGCTGGAGGGGGCACCCATCCCGCACAGATCTAGGATCCCCGAAGGGCTTTTATGCCTCTAGACAAGTGGCCAAGGATTGGCGCTTAGGATTTGGGACTTCAGATGACGAGTGTAAGGCGGATTGCTATGGATCTGGGTCTGACACCAAGAGGCATAGGTCAGGAAGTCTGTCTGGTTGATGTTCCTGGATTCCAACGCCGCTTCCAAGAAAAGCCCTATGGAAGACCCTGAACCCGGCTTGTGATCAGTGCCTAAGCTCTGGAATTGAGGCCCATTGGGCAAATTTAAGGTTCTCGCACCGCTGAGGTCTATGCTCACAAGCGGGTTTGCTTGGTTTAAAAGAGACGGCATGCATTCACACGCTTGCAGAGCGGCTATGCAAGTAACAAAACCATACGAGTACCCAGCCAAGGCGATCCGAAAGAGGCAGATGTCTCCAAGACATCTGCCGAGAGCTCCAGTTGAAGGCAAAGGGCTGTTTGCACTTCCGAAGATCCAAGCAGATGAAGACTGAAATTCCCGAACGTGAACCGAGCTCCGAGGGACGCCGATTGCAGATCCCTACACCCCCATGGCTCAGGGCTTTCTGGCGTCGGGAGCAAAAAATCCACAGCACATCCTGAAGTCGTCATGCAGGCCTCATGCCCCAGAAGTCTCCTCGAAAGCGTCCGGCAGCTGGAGGATCCCGAGCCCCCTGCCCCTTCCAACAAGCTGAAGAGCCCCAAAGTCTCAAAGCCCAAAAAAGCAGAGGATCAGGAAGATGTCCAGGATGGACACGGGCCAGGGAGACGAGTCCAGAAAGTCCAAGCTGATCCTGGGCTCTCTGTGTTCTTACGTGCAGCGTTGGCCCTCTGGAGCTTTGTTGGGTCTCTTGAGTTTTGAGGACACAGGATTTCGGGTTTCGAGTTCGGACTTGGGGCCGGGGGTGTGCAGCATTTTGTGCATAATGCGTAGGTGTTCGGGTTCAGAGGGTCTTCAGGATGCGTGGAATGGAAGTTGAAGACTGTTGGAGCGGGGCCCCCAGCAACTGGGCTGAGGGCTGAGGGGCCTTTTGGATGGATTGCACTGCCGGTACTGCGGCGGGGCTACAGAATGGGAAGGAATACTGCTACAGGTACCTGCATATCTGCCTGATTCTGCCCGCGCTGGAATACAGGTTCGATTCGAGCTCTTCTCCATCCCAACCAACACCAAACAACAAGCCAATACCGTCTACTCTTCGAGCATGCATCCCTGAAGCTCCCTGATGAAACCTCTTTTTGCATCTGGTCTCCACCCCGTTGAAATCTGAAACCCCAAACTACCCAACATAAACTATATGCTCCACCCGAATATCGGCAACCTCACACCCAAACCCGATCGATCGAGCATCTCCTTTCCTAAGATGGGCTCAGCATATGCCAAGTCCTAAGGATGCGGCCGGCAAGAGGATGTTAAAGTAGGTCGACAGGGTGCAGGGTTTGGGGTGTTGTAGGAAGCTCTACCAGGAAATCCTTCGGAGGTGTGTGGGTTGACTCATGGTTCTGGACATCACTGTTTCATAGGCCCATAGACAGAAGTCAGCCCAACAGGAAGGGCAAGTTTAGTGTTTGTGACGTTGAGGGCTTTGGGGCTGAATTCGCGGAGATGTACTTCGCTCCCAAACATTGCTACAGATGTGCACGCTACCTTTTGAACCTGAGCATGTGGGGTCACCCGAAAAGAATTGCCTGGCAAAAGCAGCGAGATTTCAAGCGCTTCGGTACCGCCAGGGGTAATCGAGCTCTAAAGACTCTAAAGTTTTTGTGTACGGCCTGGTCAGTGAAAAAACTGAAAAAGCTTGAGCCCGAAACTTGTACACCGTGCGCCCTTGACCTATCAATCCAACAGCCGCACCCCCCAACACGAGCTTCCAAAAACCCCAAGGTTAGCGTCTAGGTGCTCTTCCAAAGTAGTGGGCTGAACAGATCCAAATCGAAGCTCGAAAAGAAAGCCACATGTCCACAAAAGTGCCGCAATATTCAAGACTAGGCCTGAGTAGGCGAAAGGAATCAAAACTCACTGCCAATCCCAGACTGTTCTGGGGCCAGGTCGGGCAGAAATGGCACAATGCAGACGATAGCCCGAACTCTGCGAAGGCTCCGCCTACTCCCCCTGAGGCCACTACGGAGTTGGCAGTTTCACGCTCTCCTTCTTCCAGCATCAGATGTCGGGCCCGCACGAAGAGCGCGCTGACGTATCCGAGGAGGCAGAACCTGAAACCCTTTTGAATCCAAATCGAGCTTAGGATTTTAACACTACCCCAGGCATTGCTGTTCAGACCCTGCTCTCGTGACCTAGGCGTCGTGAAGTCTTGATGAGAGTTGACTGCAGGCTTATGCACATTAGCGACCGTTAACTTGAGTGTCAAGAGAAGGGCTTTTTGCCTCCCACCTAGCTAGGACGAAGCCCGAATGGCAGGGTACAGTCTGAGGTGCAACAGAATCTCCATGCGCCAGTTCACCAAAAGCAGCACATATAGAGCAACTATACCGTCAATCAGGCTCACTTCCCAACCCTACGACATCTTGTCATCACAAGGTCGAGCAAACATCACCAAAGCGATCATCGATCGCGAAATCACGCCTCACTGCATGCCTCAGGCAAAGAACAGTCAGAGCTCGCATCACCGAAGGTCTCTCACCGTTCATTCTTCGTGACGTCCCTCAAGATGCAGTAATCAGTGAAACTGTTCTCCAGCGTATTCCAACCTTGTTACGAAGCGCTAATTCGGATGCTTCGGAATTACATCACCCCACATTGATTTGCAGCCACGACTTGCGATACCTGCTTCCATGCCCCCGTCACACCGCACTCAAGCGGCGGCACAAGCTGAACTTGGCAATCGGAAGCAGCATTGTCATGTAGCATCAGTCGCATCATGTAGCATCAGTCGCACCACGCAGATTATTTTTAGGTCAATGGTTAAAGCCGTTAAAGCTGAAAAGGGTTCAGGGCTTGGTCTTTGGGTATTTGGCAGGACTCGGCTTTTCACGCTCACCACGTGCGTGTCACAACCTTCCCCAACCTTCCAAGGTGAACTTGCAGCGCCCTTTTCAATGCCCTTTGCCTTTACCCTACAGATTGAAGCTCATACGTTCGTACATACCTCCCAAATACTCCCAAGACCCGAACTGCCAGAAACTCGACAGAGACGCTCTGCCCCTCTGCTCCCTTTGACTTAAACCTTCAGAGAAAGCACAAAAGCTTCGGACTGATGTCTGGGCCGAAATCCTCCCTAAGGACAGGTTATGAAATCCGAAATCAAGCCTGGAGATACATCAAGTAAGAGCTGTGGCTGAGGTCTGACCCCACCCCCTCATAAATCCTTGCAAGGGCGCTGATTGGGCAGTGGCCACCTCAGTAGGATCTTCTGCCAAGCTTCCAGTAAATATCTGCTGGGTCTTACAAGTTGTGCATAGGAGTGGGTGTTTGAGTGTGTGTGTGTGTGTGAGGGAGGGAGGGAGGGAGGGAGAGGCGAGCGAGATAGAAACGGCGAGAGAGAGAGAGAGCGAGCGCGAAAGAGAGCACGCGATTTTTGGTAAATTTGACACACCTTCTGCGGAGGATCTTGTCTGGCCTTTTATAACCTGTTGAATGCTGGTACCCCCAAGTCCAAGTTCTTGCTTCCAAGATTTTGCCGTGTGCATGGCTTTGAGGCCCCGAAACAGTGCCACACAGATCAGCAGATTTGGCAGCTGGATTAGCTGCTGGTCGGCTGGTGGGCTGTGGTGCGCAGAGTTTGCGGCCACAGCGTGCTGGCTTGGGCGCTGAATTGAGCAATGTCTCTGACGTTTCTGCAACGTTTCGGGTAGGCTTGTCAATGAATTGCTGTAGGGTTTTACAGGCTTCTAACAAATTTGACATTGTGCCGTCGCGGCTGTTGGCGCGCTGGCGCTTTGGTGCTGGCGGCTTGAGCTTTGACCGAATTTTTTTGCCTCCTACTTAGCACAGAGAGAGAGAGAGAGACAGAGAGACAGAGAGAGAGAGAGAGTTGACCGAATGAGGATCGAGGGTTCTGGATCCTTGGGCTTCGGGCTTAGGCTTCAGGAGCTGCAGGGCTTGGAGCCGCTGATGGTTCGAAGCTATTCCGGGTGGAGTGGGGCTACAAGGCTCTGTGCTAAATTGACGAAGAATTGCTCGAATCCCGAAGATCTCGGGGATCTCGAAGAATCGATAGCCTACCCGAGGCCCTGAACACGTTTGCAAGCGGCAAGCTGTAGTTGTTGTCAAACGGAAGCACGGAGCAGCAAAATGTGCTGGAAGGCATGGCATTCCAAAACACGTAGTTTGCTTGCACAACAGAAAGTGACTAATCATTAAAAGTTAAGCACATGGTGGTCATGGTATTGACTATTGCAGCTGCAGCCAAGCCACTCCTGCAGCCCGCAGATGTAGTTGAAGAAACCCTCGGGGGGATGCGCCTTCGCGTGCCAGCACCCGCATCCCAGCCAGCAACACAGCAGCCACCGTCACCACGACTACCACCGCTGCTTCTACTGCGACGACAATGCCGACGACGGCGGCCACTCGACCACTAGTGATTTTACCTGCTGCGAAAGGAGGGCGGACGAAAAAAAAATCCAAACCTCACCATCACCCAATAACTGAAGCCTGCTGCCTCTACAAACTCGCAATCAACTACAGTATCGGGTCCCCACTGGGTCCCCAATACTCCTCAATGGGTTCATCCCTCCAGGGTTCTATCACTGTAAGTGCCGGTGCCTCAGCTGGCTTTGCTTGGAAACGGACGACGATGTCGTCCGCCATCTGGAGCAAATCCAGGTCTGGTGGAAAGCCTGTGGGTTTGGTACTCAGGCTGTGGAATGTTAAGGCTAGTCCTGGTTAAGCTTCCGGTTGTAGGATTGCTTTTTGTCGGAGTCGCCATGTTTGCGATCCCTTGCATCATAATGAACTCGGACTGAAAAGCGGAAGCTTGTTGTCAGCATGAGCCTTTGGCTTGCAGTCTTTCGAAACAGAACCGAAAACCCTTTGTCGTGTTTTGTGGCAAGGTCAAACGCTAAACCTGAATCCTCTCAACCAACTCTCCGAAAGAGCCCTCTAGTCACTGGTACGACTGCCTGTCCTTGAGCAGCGTTGTGCTCCAGTTGCTCCTGTGTGCTTTAAGCCGAACTGCCGAACGGGCCGTGGCTGAAATGGTGGTCAAGGCTGCTAAAAGTATCTTCGACTCTTCGACCACTTGTGACTCGGGTTCTTGCATTGTACACATGTAGCAGCAGGGAGCTCTTCACAGAATCAGGCCGTGCAACCTTAAAGCTTCGATTCCAGTATTCTGAAATCTGCTTGATGCTGAGTGAAGTCACCGGGACGTGGCAGTGCTGGAGACAGCAAGTAAAAACACAGATCATTCATATTTATTTCACATACGCCCTCCTATCCAGGCCTCGAGTACGTTTTCATGCAGGTGGCATCGGCAAGAGCAAAAATCGGAAAAAGGCGACAAACGAGCACCGAGCTCCTCAATCCCGATTCCTGCAATCCTGAGCCTGTACGCCTAGACCCGAACCTCCACGACCTACATTCCTGAAAGTAAGGGGTGCAGAATCTTGCACCTCCAAGTTTGCCTTCAAGTGATGCCCACGCAACGAGAAAACCCCTGATTCCAATGCACCACCACAACAGTCCAGAAATTTGCCCCATGGCTGCAGGTCTGTGCAGCTGAAGGCTGGCAACACCGGCACATCGCACCTCATTGTGGTTTCGGCGCTCACACTTGGACTCTGCGCAAGTGTGTGTCCACAGGGTCTGGTTTCGAGATTTTTTTATGTAAGGCCAACACTTTACTATGGCGCTCACACTCGGACATTGGGCTTGGGGACTGGTTCAGATGTCTCGACTGATCCCTTTAGCCCAGAACCCCAAGTAAGCGCCTGGCCCCTTTTTGCATCCAGGCCTATTGCAACTACCGGGTACCCCTGAAGGCGTGACCCCTAAATCCTCAATCCGACCTGCCTCGATGGTGCCCCTGCAAGTCCATCTCCGGAAACCTGCACGTCACGCTTGCAAATTGAGGAATTGGCATTGTGCGGGTTCCCCGTTCCGGGCTGACCAAACTAGAGACTCAAATGGAGATCCGAAGGAGGACTTGAAGAGGCACACACAAACAACGTCATTCTCCTGCATGCAACAGCCTGATGCAGACACCGGGCTATGTGGGGCTGGGACGACGACTACACTGCTGCTTCCACTGCGGCTACTTCTGCTACTGCTCCTATCGCCACCACCACCACCACCGCCAAGGGGAGGTGTGCATGGGGGCGCGGCATGCACAAAGCAGGTGCGATTTTACGATATGGAATCCGTAAGATACCTGATACGTTCTTGCACAATCAAAGTCCGGAAAGAACAAGTGTCACGAGGTAGTCATGCCGTCGTAGCCGTTGTAGCTGTAGGAGTAGTAGTCGTGGTAGTAGTAGTAGTAGTAGTAGTAGTAGTAGTAGTAGTAGTAGTAAGTAGTAGTAGTAGTACTAGTAGTCGTAGTAGTAGTAGTCAGTAGTAGTAGTGGTAATAGTA